GAGCCTTTCTAGAGGTAGACATGCCTCCGTTCCCTTCCTTAAAAGAGGCCCTTTATGGAAATCATTACTTAAAATAATACATGGAACACTTTGTTTTAGGCGTTGTATTTAATAGGCATTTAATTGTTGTAAAAACTCTTCAGATATTCTAAGAAGATGCAAAAATACCCCAAGAAATCTTGGAAGGCAGATGTTAAAAGCAGCACTTAGCTCCACCGTTTTTGTGGTTGTTAGGTGCTGTAAAACTGAGTATGAGTCATAGTGATCCTATGAACCAGAGATCTCAGTGCTGTCCCGAGCCATCCTGCCATCTCTCATACACTTGACCCTATTGCTGTAGTTAGTCCATCTTGTTGAGGGCCTTCCCTTCTTTTTCTGACCCTCCATGTTTCCAAACTTAATGTCCTTTTCCAAGAAATAACCTCTCCAGCAGCATGTCCAAATTATGTGAGATGAAGGCTTCCATCCTTGCCTCTAAGGGACACGCTGGTTGCACTTACTCCAAGTTGTATCAGTCTATTCTTTTGGCAGTCGATGGGGACTCTTCTCCAACACCACAACTCAAAGGCATCAAGTCTTCCTCTGTCATCCTTCTTCATTGTCCAGCTCTGGGATTGTAAGGACCATGGCTTGAATCAATTGCCCCCTAGTCTTTAAGCTGACATTATTGCTCTTCAAACTTTGAAGAGGTCCACAACAGTAGACTTTTCTATAGCCTTTTATCTCCTGATCTCCTGACTCTGCTGATATCTAGAGTGTTTGTGGATTCAGTAAGATGAAAGAGTTGATAACTTCAGCCTTTTCTCCATCTGTCATAATTTTGCCTGTTGACCTAGTGGTGAGGAGTTTTGTTTTCTTGATGTTGAGGTGTAATCTGTATTGAAGCTTTGACCTTCTATAGTAAGTGCTTCCCATCCCCCTCACTTTGTGCAAGCAAGGTTGTATCATGTACTTTGTCATGTACTTTGTTGATGAGTCTTCCTGCAATCCTGATGCCACATTCTTCTTCATAGAGTCCAGCTTCATGAATTACTTGCCCAGCACACAGATTGAATAGGTATGTAGAAAGGGCATAACCCTGCTGCACACCTTTCTTCATTTTAAACCATGTAGTGTTCCCTGTTTCGTCTGGACAGTGGCTTCTTGATGTAGGTATAGGTTTCATATGAGCATAATTAAATATGTCTGGGGTTTCCATTCTTCTCATTGTTAGCCTAGCTTATTATTATCTATGCTGTCAAATGGCTTTGTGTAATCAATAAAACTGAGATAGACATTTTTCTGGTATTCTCTGGTTTCAGCCAATATTCATCAGACATTAGCGATGATATTCCTGGTGCTATGACCTCTTCTAAATCCAACTTGAACTTCTGGATGTTCTCTGTCATTGCACTGTTCTAGCCATTTTTTTGTGATCGTCAATGATATTTTTCTTACATGTGATATTAATGATACTGTTTGATAGTTTCCACATTCTGTTGGATTACCTTTCTTGGGGATGGCAACACATAAGGATCTCTCCCAGTTAGTCAGGCAGCTGTCCTCCAGATTTCATGGCATAACCTGGTGGGCATGGTCAGGGCTGCATCTATTAATAGAAACATGTCAGTTGGTTTCTCATTGATTTCTGGGGTCTTATTTTTTGGCAGTGACTTGAGTATAGCTTAAAGTTCTTCCTTCATTACCATTGGCTCTTGTTCATCTAGTACTTCTGTGACTCTCTGTATGTTGTTCAGTCCTGTGGGCGTGAGTATGCCTCGTAGTGGCCCTGTGGATAACAGATCTGAATCTTGCCTCCATCCTGTGCCATCCTCATCATCTCTGACATAATCAAACCCATTCCTGCTGTCACTGTGTCAGTCCATCTCATTGAAAGGCTGTAAATTGCATGAGAGGAGAGTGCCCGTCTGTCTTCTGTGAAGCAGCTGGTGGATTCAAGCTCCTTGTCCAGGTTGGCAGCACAACTCTATGCAGTAAGCCACCAGAGTTCCCTAAAGAGTCTTTAAAGGGGAGTATCTATAGATTAAATGGTATAAAGAGCCCTTAGTGTATTAAACAGTTGTAGAGTGAATTGTATAAAAACCTTTAAATAAAGAAAAGTCGAAAGAGCTACAAACATACAAGTGCTTATTTTTTTTATCATCTTGAGGAAGGGAAATTGTCCAAATATGAATTTGGCACTAAATGAAAAGATCAAAAGAATATTGCTTTTTGATCTAAGATATAAACAAAGTAGAAAGAGAAGTGACAGTCTGGGGAGAATGCTTTCAGTGAGACAGAAAGGATTAATATAAAAAGCCATAAATCAGTAAAAAGCTAAATTAACAATACAGGAGAAAGAAAGTCATGTTCAAGGAGGAAATACGGATGATATATAAAACACAAAAAACTAGAGAGCTCTGGTGGCCCAGTAGCAAGAAGCTGCGCTGCTATCCCAGAGGCACACGGTTCAAATCCAACAGATGCTCTGCTGGTGAAGTAGGGACAGTCTCCTCCTGTACCAGTCAGATCTGATTTGATGGTATACACTCCCCCCCTAAAAAACAAAAACCCACAATACAAAAAAAAAAACCCTCTAAAAAATAGGTTAACGGTAAAGAGTGTCTGCTTTTTACAATAAAGAGTGTGCACAAAATAAACAAAAAAATCCACCCAAAACAAAAAAAACTGTCTCAGTAATAAAACTCACATTTAAGCAAGGTCTCGAATCTTCCAATTAGATTATCACAGAATACTGTCACCCAAGGTTTTGTTAGAAACCACACCTCACGGGGTGCCTCAAATACAGAATTTGTTGTGGGAATTATTTTCCTGTGTACAACAACACAAAGTAGATGCTGCCAGAACCCAGAAACTCAAACCTGCATGAAGCAGCTGCCAGCCCTCGGGCTGGAGAGGCCAAGGTGACAAGGTGGTGTGACCAGGGCTCTCGGGAGGCCATTGTGGCACTGCTGCTGAGTGTCAGAAGGGAGTCTGCAAGGCCAGCCGAGCCTGGCGTCAGGAGACCTGGGGGCAGTAATGTTTCCTGTGCTGCTGGAGGGAGGCCAGCAAGAGCAGGGGTCAGAGGCAGCCCTTCTCCCCACCTCCCACTTTCTAGTCTCCCCATCACTTGAGCTGCCCAGATGTCCAGAAGATACAGTGTGCAGATGCCTAAGATGATGCCACAGAGGCTTGGGGAGGAAGAGGATGGATTCATAGCCAACACAAGTGCTTATGAGATGGGGTAAAACAGAACTGCACATGAGATGGGGTAAAACAGGCCTCTTTCAGACTTTTGGGAAGAATATAAACAGATCCACCCTCTGGGAAGCAGTTCTAGTAGCTATATAACTTTTCCCTGTGAATTCTCTTTGACCCGTGTATGTTGTTGTTGATTGCCATCGAGTCGAGCACGACTCATAGCGACCCAATAAACAAAAGACCTGAAGCCTTCCTAGAACTATGATCGTTTCTCAGAGTTCATAGAGTTTCCAGAGACGTGTTGTTTAGGAAGTGGATGCCACTCCTGCTTCCAAACCTGTCTTAAACTGGGAGCTCCACCAAACTCTGTCCACCATGGTTAACCGTTAGGGCATTTGACATCCCAGTGGCACAAGGTTCAGCATCATAGCAATCCCAGGTTACCTCAGTACAGAAGAGTACTGAACCACTTAGAGGAATGTTCCTCCAAAATGTAGTAACAACTGACTTTTACATACAGAGGCTCTCCACGAGATCTTGTTGACTCTAAACAGGAAGCTTAAATAAAAAACAACCAATATAATACAGTGTTGTTATGTGCCGTTGAGTCTCCTGTGACCCATAGTGACCCTATGTACAGCAGCTCTGAACCCTGCCCTGTCCTGAGCCAGTCTCACTAATTCTGACACATCAACCCCCATTGCCCTAGTTACTGTGTCACGCCATCTCATCCGCGGTCTTCCTTTCCTGTTCTGTCCGTTCACCCTTCTGAGCATGATGTCCTTCTCCAAGGACCAGTCTCTCTTGGCCACTTTGTGCCCAAAGTGTGTGAGACAGCTTCAGAATCCTACCCTCCAAACAGAGACTTGGTTTCACCCCCTCCAAGACAGACCTGTTTGTTTTCTTGGCAGTCCATGATATGTTCAAAACTCTTCTCCAGCATCACAACTTGAAGGCATTGATTCTTCTTCTGTCATCCATAGTCATTGTCCAGCTCTCTGAAGCGTAATAAGTAATGGTGAAGACCATGGCCTGGATAGGGGCACCTTAGTCTCTAGACTGACATCATTGCTTTTCAACGCTCTGGAGAGGTCCCTGACAGCAGATTTTCCCAATGAATTTTGTCTTTTGATTTCCTAACTGTTAGTGTTAAAAGAGTGTTGACTGTGGAGCCAAGCTAGCTGTAATTGCTAACAACCTTAATCTCTTCTCCATCTATGATGGTGCTGCCAATTGGTCCAGTGCTGAGAATCTTTGACTTCTTGATGTTGAGCTTCACTCTGTATTGAAGACTACAGTCCTTGACCTTCTGCAGCAAGCGCTTCAGGTCTGCCTCAGTTTCAGCAAGCAAGCTTGTATCATCTGCATAGCGTAGGTTGCTGATGAGTCTTCCTTGAATCTTGATGCCACATTCCTCCTCATAAAACACTACTTCCTGAATGGTCTGTTCTGTGTACAGATGATCCTTGTGTACGTCTGTGTAAAAATATAGATCCTAGGTCAATGCTAGGCCAAGGGTGGAGAAACACATGCATATACTGGTGCATAGTGACATGTGACATTTTAATGTAATTTCAAAAACAGAAAATAGCCTTAATGCACATCATTAGGAGATTGGCTAAATATGTTGCATATGACTATTTACAATAAGATATTTGTCTGTATTATCAGATAATAAAAACAATAAAACAGCATTATAATAGGATCTAACATTTTATCAAATCCAGGAGAATTGCCATATTGAAATGTAACAAGGTTATCATCATGATCATAAATTTAAAAGTACAAAATTTTATGTGTCTGCTTTTTTCTCTCAACAGTTATGAATGCAGGAATGAGAAAATACTTCCTTCAAGCCAATGACCAGCAGGACCTAGTAGAATGGGTCAATGTGCTAAACAAAGCTATAAAAATTACAGTACGTATTTTCATTATTTTGAAATATTTATCGCATTCCTAGAAATAATCATTACATTTTAAAAATAAACCAACTAATCATCCCCACCTTACCAAGAGGTTGTAAATGCAAGTGTTTGGAAAACAGGCACTTAGAGTGTTAATTTTCTTGTCCCGATGACTTGTAGCTTTTCAGTCCGCCCATGAGTGCCTGCTTAACCTGTTATGTACCTTAGTCACGTTCCACGGTACTGGAGCGCCTCACCATGGCTTCAGCAGTGCTGCTGGGAAGGTGCAGTTTTATTGGAGTTCTGCTTGGAGGACGTGTGTTTTAAGTGTAGTAGGAGACTTCTGGCTGCCTCCCAGGCAAGAGTGGGCAGTCCCAACTTCTAAACCATGCCTTGCCCTGGTATCAGAGGTGGGACCAGAAGCAGGTAGAGAAGAAGGGAAAGTGAACGGTTTAGAAGTGAGGTATTGACGGGGGGATTGGTCTGAGGAGCTCGCCAGAACGTCTGTCCACGTGCCGTTGGGAGATACTGGCTTGGGGATGGGTCTGAGGAGCTTGCCAGAGCATCTGCCCACGTGGTGTTGGGAGGCTGGCTCAGGTTGTGCCCTGCTTTTCTCACCCTCTCCTTTTCCTGGTTCACTACCTTTGTCCTGTCAACTGCTCCAACTTCCTACCCTCAACTTAGGCATCTGTGTGGAGTTTTGCTGGACATGAGTATTTGTTGATTTCTTATTTGCAATCTGCCACACCTTGTGTTAAAAACTATCTGAGTTATCTGGGGAAAGTGAGACTTGGAATGATGAGGCAGCTTTTAGAGATTTCATCAGTTCTAAGTTGGAGAGTTGTGGTCCACACCCAGTGGAATTGACTAGGCCTGAACTCGGAACCACGATGCCTGAGGACCTCATGGGCAAGAGTCCTTCCTCACTGTCCTGTTCCTGCAGCAGAGGGGTCCTCTCCCCTGATGATTCCCACCTTCCCTCTTACTACCTCTCTACTCCAGAGAAACACGTGAGGAAATTGTACGGAAATTGAAATGTGTTTTTACTGAAGCGCAGTGTTTGCTGAACCTAAATATTATTCTCAGGAAGCATATGGCCTAGAGGCTGGGCTCTGTTGCTCACTCGCTAACGTGGACGATTCCAGGCTTTTATCACAACACTGTAAAGAGTTAATATAACCAAAGCTGCTCAGCTTAAATTGAATTTCTTGTCTTGCAACAGAACAGCTTGTTACCACGTGACAGCAGACACCCACGCACCCCTCTGATCTCGGGTTGAAGCAGAAGTTATTTTAGGTTTGTGCAGTTCCAGGAAAGCGATGTTTGATCTGATTCAGAAGTGTGTATTCTTGAAGATTTTAACTGATCATCTTTAACAACTTTAATTTTGTTACATTGGAAAATTTCTTTAGAAAGCGTATTTCTAGTAGTTTTGCTGACTTTTTCTCCACCAATTTGCAGTAATAAGCAGGATGGTTTTTTAGAGCATTCAGTAAAAGGTAGTTCCTGACTTGGGGCCTTTTACTATCCGGGAAATGCTTGAATTTCCATGTCCAGTTTGTACTGGGTTGACGCATCCTTCTGTACATGCCTCCTCTAAACTTGTCAGCCTAATAGAGAAACAGAGGAGGGACTGGAATTTGCAACTATGGGACTTTAAATACCCTTTGTCATCTGACAACTTGTCTTAAAGTTTGTAAAGATAAGTTTATTAATCATATAATATTTTTATAGTTTACATTTAGGAGTCAAATACATAAAACATAAAAAAATCAAACTTGTGAGCAAAGTGATAAGATGTAATATAAATGTATACTTAAGTGTACATAGAAGTCAGTAATTCTGTGACAATAACTAAAAATCAGCTTTAACCTCTACCCTTCAAGTCTGTTCCAACTTTGTTGGACAAAGGTAAACTGTGCCATAGGATTTCCAGGTTTGTAAGTCTTTATGGCAGCAAACTGCCATTGTTCTCATATGGAACAGCCGTTAGAGTTGAACTACCCACCTTTTGTTTAGCCTCTGTGTGCTTAACCACTTACACCACTGCCTTTGGGCCTTAAGGCATCTCCACCTCCTGGGAGCGCCGTGAATAGCAGATCTGAGCCTTGCCCTGTCCTGCACCAACCTTGTGGTCTCTGATGTGCTGTGTCAACCTGTCTTGTTAAGAGTCTTCTCTCCTTGACCTTCCACCTTTCCCAGTGTGGTGCCGTTTTGCAAGGACTGGCCCGTCCTGACAACTTGACCCAAGTATGTGAGGCAGAGCTTCACTATCTTTGCACTTCCCCCACGACAGATGTTTTTGTTCATTCTTTGGGCAGTCCATAAGACAGTCAGTCCTATCAGTGTCACAATTCAAAGGCTTCGATTGTTCTTCCTTGTTCATTGTTCAACTGTCAGGTGCATAAAACATAATTGAAAAGATCCTGACTTGGGTCAGGCACACCTTACTCTTAAACTGACATTGCACCACTAGGCTTAAACTGACATTGCACCACTAGGATTCTTTGGAAGTCAACTCTGTTGAATTTCCCATTCTTTAATAAAGTACATTTTATGTTGTTATCCTTTGAGACAATCTTGTAATTTTAATATTACATGCATTTTAAACATTTAAGTGTATTAGAGGATGGAATTTCTAATAGGTCATTATGTAAGGATTAGATAGAATGTGAGGATGGCCAGTCTGACTTCTCTTCACTTCATAAAGGGGAACTGTCTCCACCAGTAATATCCATAGCAGCAAAATGATACCTGCTAGGTCAGACACACACACGCCCCCTACCCCCCATGCTCTGGTACCAATTTCCACCAATCACTGGGTTTAATATTTGTTGTTCACAGAAGACTTTATTCACAGTTGTGGTACCAAGAGTGAGGTATATTAGGGACATAGGAAGAAGCAAAGAATATCACTCAATGTTAGTCCAGGTTTAGTCCAGCAGTCCCAAGCCAGATTAAAAGCAAAACACAATTCCTTAATTTGTAAAGGTCCTGGTTTCAGTTCAGCAGCACAAATTCAGAAGCCTCTGTGGTTCCCTCAATCATCCAGCAGAGTTTGCCTCAGAGCAGTTACAAGTCAGCTTCTCATTTAGTCATCTGGCACGTTCTTCATCTGGCATCTTGCTCTTCTGTTAAACTTTGCCACTGTCACTGGGGTTAGATAGTATCTCATTGTGGTTTTGATTTGTATCTCTTATTGCAAGTGATTTTGAGCATTTCTTCATGTCTGTCTATTGGCCATCCGAATGTCTTCCTTTATGAAAATTCTTTCCATATCTTTTGCCCATTTTGTAATTGTGTTATCAGTCTTCTTGTGGATGCCCTATAGGATTTTGGAAACTTTTGATAAGAGACCCTTAACTGATGGTATTGCCAAATGTTTTTTCCCAGTCAGTAAGTTTTCTTTTCACTCTGTTGGAAAAAATTTTACATATCTGTGACTGTAGTTGTATACATGTGATTTCCGTAGTTAGGAAGCATTCATGTAGAGTTAATGCTCACCTTCTTGGAAGAGGAAGGGGTGACTACTTTCCCAGGATGCACCTCTTACTATCACAGGTCATCTAATACTGTTGCAGAAACGTTTCTCTCTTGTTTTAAATTCACTTGGTGCTATTTTCAGTACTTAATTCAGAAACTTTGATATCTTTTTCTCTGTCACAATAAATACATGATGCTGTTCGTTAGAACAGGACTTCAGGTGGTACAAGTGTGCTTGCCTGCTAATGGAAGGGTTGGTAGTTTGAACCCACCAATGGAAGAAAAGTTGTAGGGGTCTGTTTCTGTAAAGACTGCCTCCTAGATAATCCCTCAGGCTGTTCTCTACCCTGCAGGGTAGGAATCCCCTCCAGAGCACACAGCACCAACAGTCAGTTGAAACGTTTTGTTTTTTTTTTTTTTTCAGTTGAAACGTTTGAATTCTTACATGTGGGAATCTGTCAAAATTCTGCTCCTTATTGTGTTGTATGTCTTTTCAAGGCACTCTGGAGTGTGCAGCCTTCCAGAAGGAACCTTTGTTCTCAAGAAGAATCTCCTTGAGGTCTCCTTTATTGTCCATTCTGCTCATCTGAGCTCTTCAGGGGACTGAATGTGATGGGGGGAGGGGGCTGGGGGCGGGGGGTGAGGCCTGGGTTTGAGGCCTGGAGAGAAAGCTGGGGGGCAGTGTAGCTCCGAGTGGAGGAGGGTACGGGAGGAAATGACAAGGAGTTTTGGAAGTCACCAAGAGTTCAGTCTTTGGTATCCGTAGATGACGTCGGTGTGTGGAGTGGAATCCACTACGCACGAGCATCCTCTCGTGCACGTGGCCTCTGCCAGATGGTTTGCAGAAAGCTGCCATGCGAGTCCTTGTCTGCTGACACCAGTCTACCTGCTTTTCTGCAGGCCTGGGACTGGCTGCATCCTCTCGTCCTCGTCACAGTGCCCTGGGGGTATCTTCCCTCTTGCCTAGGTGCTAAGCGCTGCTTTGGAATTAGGCACAGCTGGGTGGGTCTTTGACTAACTGTGAATGTGCCCTCAGTCCCTGGGGCAGCATCCTGCTAACTGGCAGCTGTTTAAATGATGTGCTTTTGTACCAGTATTTCTGTGATTTCTGTGTCTGTCAGTTATGTTTGTCATAATGTTTCTGAGGGATTACAAGATCTCCAAATGACCTTCAACTTATTAGAGATGAAATAATTTTGAACATCATAATTAGTGCTGTTAATATTTTAGTAAATTTTCTTCAGAACCCCAAAAAACTAATACTCAAATACAAACAAAAAAAATCCCCAAAGCAACAACAAAATACAAACAAAAGTCTGTAGGCCAAAAGAAAGATTACTATATATACCTTATTAGCTAATTACTCTTCAGAAGAAAAGCTGTGTTTTAAACATTTGTGATACCTCTGATTCTGCAACTCCCTTTTACTGAGGAAAAAATATATGAGAGTCTACTGTTGTTACTGCCCTTGCTTGTTTATACACGTCACTTGTTAGGTGCTGTTGTTGGCTTCAGCTCATGGTGACCTTGTATGCAACACTGCCCGCGTTTGGTCCACGCTCATGATCTCTGTGGTACTTAGGCCAGTTTTTGCGGCCCCTGCGTCAGTCCAGCTCCTTGAGGGTCTTCCTCTTCATTGATCACCCTCCACTTTACCAAGCATCCTGATAACATGCCCAGAGTATGTGAGATGAAGTCTTGCCATCCTTCCTTCTGAGATGCATTCTGGCCATTCTTTTTAGGACTGATTTAAGGATTAAAACTCCTGAACTAAGTTTTCCAGAGCTCTGGTGGCCTTAGTGGTAAGGAGTTGTGCTGCAAATCCAAAGTTACATAGTTCACATCATCACCTGCTCCGGGGAAGAAGCTGTCTCCTTTCTTGGCAGTGAAAGGTCAGCTGTTAGTCATTTCCAACTTAGTGATATGTAACAACAGCAATTAAGTTTTCATTTCTTTTTAACAAACTGACTTTTTCTTTCTGTATTTTGTTACTCTGTTTTGCATTCATCCACTGTACAGCCCTCACTGAATCCCACCTGTTGGTAGTAGACTGTGTGCTAGAGCTGTGATTCTTGTCAGGGGAATCTGCAGAATCATGGTTGGGAAGGGAGCAGAGAGCGGGCTAGCAAGTAAGGGCACAGTGTGACCTACTCGACTAGACTGCACATGGTGATGGACTTTGAAGGGGAACTACACAAGCTTAGCTAGAAAGCAGCAGGTGAAGATCTGAGCTGTGCCCTTCACCCCTGAGCGTCTGTTTCTTTACCTCTAGTGTAGGGTGGGGTGGGGGTGGGGTGTTCCAGCCCTGTGACATCAGATTGTTAAGAGAATTACATGGGAAAAAGCAGCCATGGTGCTTGCCTGAACAGCACTCAGTGGAAGGATGGCCAGTTCACAGACATGAACTGTGCCGTCCACAGAAAGGAGTGCATATGCACAAGCACACCTGTTCAGTGACCTTACGCAGAGTTCTTCAGTTTCTCTAAATAGATGATTAATTGGCAATTCTGTCAAAAGAATGTTGCAGACATAATTGCAAATGGATTCTTTTGGCTTCTTATTTCAGGTACCAAAGCAGTCTGACACACAACCTCACTCTGATAATCTCTGTCGCCAGGGCGACTATCCCTGTTCAAAGAAGCAAGTGTCCTATAGAACTGACATCGTGGGCGGCGTTCCCATCATTACGCCCACTCAGGTAATCACCCTTCTCGCCTCTGATGGTTTTTACTGTGTATTGATTTCTGCATAAAACCTCAACAATCTCTCTGTACTAAATCAATGCAAGGAGTCTTCCTTTACTCTTGTTCAATATTTTAAAAGTATGTGTTTATTGTATCACATTTGAAAAATACAGCAAATAACACTTTTTGTGTTTTCTCTGATGTTTTTTGGTATGTTTCCTCCCAGAAACATATAAAAATTACATACTAGGTTTTGTAAGCATCTTTTAAAAAAACTTATTCCAAGTCATCAAAAATTATTCAACATCATTATTTTAAATGGAAGTTTTTATTATTATTTGCAATTTTGGCATTACTGGATAGATGTATTACCTCAAGAGTACCCCAGTTGGTTCTGCTATCATGATTTATTATATTCTGTGTACTTGAGAAGAACTTTGTCCATATCAGTGCTAGCATACTGAAACAGTTTTGTTGTTTATTGTTGTTGTTATATGCTGTCGAGTCACCTGCGACTCATAGTGACCCTATGTACAACATCCCTAAACCCATCTCTAGCCCTTGCCAATCTTATTGTCTCTGACATGCCTGTCCCCATTACTCCAGTGACAGAATCATTGCGTCTCATCAAGGGTCTTCCTCTCCTGCTTTGTCCCTCCACCCACCCAAGCGTGATGTCCCTCTCCAAGTACTGATCCCGCCTTGCAACATGTCCAAAGTATGTCAGACGAAGCTTCAGAATCCTTGCCTCCAAGAAGCAGTCTGACTTCATTCTCTCCTGGATGAACTTGTTTGTTCTCCCAGCAGTCCATG